TTATTTATTTATTTATTTATTGTATTTAGGGAAGGATCTACAGGGTGTTCAGGGTCTCACTACTAAATCAGATTCGTAGTGATCTGCCTGTTTACAGTCTCCCAAGAACTGGGATTATAGGCATGTGCCACCATGCCCAGTCTCATGGCAGACTAATTAATCTTGTGAAAGAATATTGAAGGCAGCCTAAGGTGATGGAATGGCTCCTGTTGGGGGATTTTAGCCAGATTTATATTGAGAATCAAGAGCAAAGATCCCAGAAGAATGATCCAAAATGTGAGAAAAACAAACAAATAAACAAAGCCAAAGAAAACAAAACCCATTGTAATTTTTGGCCAGGAAAAGAAATTTCAGTAAAGCGGTGTACTGCAAAGATAGAAGAGATAAGATCTTGATTGCTAAAAAGGAACAGAATAGAGAAGATGGCCTAAAGGAATTACAAAAAACAGCAGAACTCTGCCCCTTGAAGCCTTAAAATTGCAAAATTTTGAAAGACTTAGCTTAAGAAGAGGGCCATAGAGCATTATATTCCATAATGGAAGCAACCGAAGGGAGATGTTCCTCAAGATTTGGTTGATAGGCATTAGGCCTCTACATCCCAGAGAGAAGGATTCCTTGCTACTGCCCCAACTGGCAGCAGACCCCGGCGTCATTCACGTAGCACTGGTTTTAGACAGATGCAGCATGCAAGGGTTGTGGGGTCAGAGGGGCTTCCACTCCCAGATGGAGACCTGGGAGACCAGGCAGTGTTCCCCTGAAAGAGCAGAGCGTGAAACTCTGAGTGTAAAGCTGAAGGTGCAGTGGAGATGCCAGAAATTTGGAGAAGCCAGGAACATATATTGTTTGAGAAAAACTGCAAGGAGTGAGCAGAGCCATCCCAAGAGAGAAACTGTGGGAGCTACCACTACAGGCAATTTGGAATTTTGCTGAAGCTTAGCTTAGATGCTGCCCAGGGAACTACAGGACTTACTGTTTGCCCTGTGGATTTTTGGTCTTGTGTTGGTTGCATTCCATTGTATCCTTCTTTTTGTACCTTTTGGAATGGAAATGTCTATCTTGTGCCATGGAATGTTGGAAGTGTTTAACTTTCTTCTCATTGGTACAGGACTTTTGGCTAAGAGTTTGTCTTACATTTGAGAGAGGAAGGCTGCTGATACAGCCCAGGGGCATTTTGCTTATGTTGGTGGTCTAAATGCCTGCCTGGCAAGTGGAAGATCCTGAGTTTGATTCCCAGTAGAAAAAAAAATCTCAGAGAGGAGACTTTGGGCTTGGACTTTTCATCAGTGCTGGAACTGTTAGGACTTTGACAACACTTTGAGATGGACTAAGTGCTTTTTTCCTAAAGGGATGTGCATGAGTCTATGTTGTGGGGGGATCAGAGTGTTATGGTTTATATTAGATGTTCCCCTAGTCTAACGTGGCCACAGATGAGGGATTTTTCAGAGGTGGCCAAATCTACAGCATGTGTGCTTGCTTTGGCAGCACATGTACTAAAAATGGAACAATACAGAGAAGATTAGCATGGCCCTGTGTGCAAAGATGACATGTAAATTTGTGAAGCGTTCCATATTTTTAAGTTTGCAGACCAAAAATTAGAGAAAAAGAAGGGCTGCAGGGACAGCCAACATTTTGGCCCTAGTCATTCAAGTTCAGTGAAGACTCAGGACACAGGAAAACCTGTACTGTAACATCCTGTAACTCAGTGGTGTCCCAAATTTTCTGATTAAGGAGATTATGGGACCACAGAGGAAAGTGATTGATGATGTAGAGTGTGCCTAAGGTGAGTCACATGGAGAGAAAACATTCTCTCAGACTTTCACAGAGAGCAAATTGGTCAAACAATGGCTGTGACTCATCCACCTGGCTGACACTGACAAAGGATCTGCAAACTTCAGTGCAGGGTAACAGGATAAATCCTGAGGGGACTTGACTGACCCTGTCAGATACAGGAGATACATTTCTTGTTATATATCTTGCTTTATCTTCGTCATAGCCATCCAGCAGAAAAGTACAAAAACGAGGTATAAAAAGTAAAGGCATAGTAATATGCTGAGCTGTAAAAGGCTCAAGTCAACAACTTCTGACATTGCCAGTCATGCAGATAACCCACCACTATTATGGACTACTGGACTAGATTGGATTATTTTGCTGAATTCATACTCCTACAATATTTAAATGGTAATGGAATACCCATCTCTGACAAAACTAAACAAAAAAAGGGGATATAATGAAGTACCATTTTGTACCTGCATATACAGAATAGTTAGGATAGATATACAGCTCCTTTCTCTTAATTCAATGAGAAGAAAGATTTGTACTAATAGTGTTTGGACAGGATGTCATGTCTGCATTTTGTACTATGAATAACTGCTATGAAGATAATAATATGCAATGTATTAATTAGCGAAACTGTGCTAGTAATTGGTTTTGAAACTGTCTCATTGCTATTTGTTTCTCAATAAAATTAATAAAAGTGATCAGAAAAAAAATGTAGAGCATGTGATTCTGGGGTTAAGGATGTGTGATTATTAGATCAGCCACTGATTGGTCTAGCACTATCCCCTGAGCCCAGTAGCCTACATAGAATATAAAAATGGCAGAAAGAAGCTTCTCAAGTCACCTAGACTTCCTTCTTTGCTTGCTTGCCTTTGCCATCTTCTACCTGCCATGAAGTGTTTCTCTCTGT